CCCTCCAGTATTACCAGCTGTCCTATTATTAGTTATTTTATTTATTTTATAGTCAAAGCCATTGTTAGAGTTTCAGCTCCAGACTGATCCCAGTAATGGAGACAGTTACCTCACTTGTGTGGTCTTCCCTCAACAAGGAATAGAAACACCTTACGATGAACATAAGGATATGATAATAATGATAACTTTATAAGAAATCACTGATACATATTGATGTCCATATGCTGTGTAGAAAATTTGAGCTGATTGCAAGTTCAATTTTTCAACTTATGGCCATTTTAAGAAAACGTCAAAAATTTGAAAAAATCCCTGTACTAATGGTTTTTTCCAAAAAATGGCTCTAAAATCACCCCAACTTTTTATTACATTTTCTCATGCATATACATGTACTTATGCAGTGTAGAGAGATTGAGCGGATTCTGATCAAGTTTGGATTTTCTATGATTTTTTAAAGTTGCTCAAAAATTGGACAAAAGTCCCTGTACTATAGTACAGGGATTTTTCAAAAATTTCACAAAAATTGACAAGTAGAAAATTCCTCAATTTTATTACATTTTCTGATGCATATACATGTACTTATGCAGTGTAGAAGGATTGAACAGATTCCGATCAAGTTTAGATTTTTTATCATTTTTTAAAGTTGCTTCAAAAATTGGACAAAAGTCCCTGTACTATAGTACAGGGATTTTTCAAAAATTTCACAAAAAATGACAAGTAGAAAATATCTCAATTTCATTACATTTCCTGATGCATATACATGTACTTATGCAGTGTAGAAAGATTGAGCTAATTCTGATCAAGTTTCGATTTTCTATGATTTTTTAAATTTGCTTCAAAATGGGAAAAAAGTCCCTGTACTATAGTACAGGAATTTTGTAAAATTTCACAAAAACTGACACATAGTAAATTCCTCAATTTTATTGCATTTCCTGATGCATATACATGTACATATGTAGTGTATAAAGATTGAGCAGATTCCGATCACATTGGGATTTTTTATGACTTTTTAAATTTGCTCCAAAATTGGA